CTCAGTGAAGACTGTGCATTTAATAGAATTCTGCCTCTGGGTTTTTGCTGAGGATGGAAATGAGGTCTTCACTGTAAGGCCGCTGATTTCTGAGGTCAGGAAAGCACTGAATCCTCATTTAGTGGCACAAGGTGAGGGTAAAAAGTATATCTTTATCTGAGAAGTTTGGGCAGCGTGGGAAACCAGGCTGGAAACATCAAGTGGGGCAGGGTGATAGAGCAGGTTCTGCGTCCATCAATGTACTTCCTAACGTGTGAAAAGGAACGTGTGGGTTTTTCATGCCAAGATCTCAGAAGTTATTAACTCAGTGTAAGATGTAAAGAGGAAAGGGCTTTTCTCCCTTTAGTCTGATTCGGTGAGAGAATTATTCTAGGCTTATAATCACTCATACAATTTATTCTCCCCTCTAACTGTGAAAATCCAAATATCTGTAAAAAAGAGACGTTATGGGAGTGGATATGGTGTACATCTGATTAATGGGTTCCACCAACATGAGTAATTTAGGCTCAGCAGCAGAGGTAGAAGTGAATTAGTGTTTTTAACGTGATTTGCCTCAATACCCTTGATTTACTTGACCTTGGTAGATACTACTGTGTGGATATCCAGAATTCTACCTCAGGCCTGTTGTATATTCTCTCCAGAGTTGCTTTTTTCTCTCTGTGAAAAAAGTCTCTCAGTTAAAGGGGATGGCTTCTGTGCCCACAATTCCTGAATTCCTGTTTTATTTATCAGGTGAAAAGGTCTGTTAATTGCCACACGAACTACTGCTAAACCTTCTTTAGTGACATTTCCCTGAATTCTGTTCACAATATGCTCCACCCATTTGAAGGTATCTTCTGCTCTCAAAAGTGCATGGCAGGATATTTAGAATACAGACACAAGAATTTTTCAAAATCTGCCCCCTCACCATTGGCATCTTTAACTGTTCAGCATCCAGCCCACGAGATGGGATATCAGGGCGTCCTCCTCCCCTCCTCCTGCCTGCTCCTTTGCTGTGCACTGCTGCTCCCACTCTCTTGGCTGGCTGCTCGTTTGAACTTGGACTTTTTTAAGGGATCACCCTCACTTGCAAATCTAGTGGCCTGGATCCCGGGCTGATTTCTCGAGTGGAAGAACTCATTGCTTTTTCAGCTCCAGCTTTGTTTGCTGATCACCCTGACTCCACTTTGAAGAGCTCATCTCAACTCACAGCCTCCAGAAAGCTTCCTCGAGCCCCACTCCTGCTCCCTCAACTCAGCCCCAGGTTTGCCCTGGGGCTCCTGTTTCATCTCCTTTAATCCCACCACACGGGAAGCCAGTCTGGAGTGCACTATTATGAAAGCCTCTGAGCGTCTTTTGATACTCCTAACTTCAGACGATTTCCTGCAATTTCACCACCTTTCTGGATAGCCTCTGTTACAGGGGCAGAAAACACAAGTGGTGGATTTGGTATGTTTAAGAGACATGTTCTAAATTTGGCTCTGAGCTAGACATAACCAGGTGTATAAGCTTTGTTCCTCCTGTTGGATAACAAGGCAATTTTCATAGGTATGTGTAGGCTCCGGAAGGAAGTTCAAAGAAATATCAATAGTGTGGAGACTGATTAAGATAATTTCTCCTTGGAAGCTTTACTCACCAGATTATTATCCAAAAAATAAACCAAAAACAAAAACAAAAACAAACAAAAAAACAAAAACCAAACCAAAACAACCAAAAAACAAAGCTTTACTTTATGCACATACTTAGACTTAATATTTTTGCCATATTCAGGAAATGTGATTTTTCATCAGCCCTTCCAGATACCATCAGGAGAGCAGACCCCTGGTTCACATGTTACAGGTTTCATTCCATTTCATTAAGAATTTATTATAAAACAGAATATGACATAACTGTATATTATATAACTGAGTATAAATGATCATTTCTTAGATTCACAAAAATTTGAGCCTAGGACAAAATCTTTCTGGATAAGAGCTGATGTTTAATTAATTATGCCATTATTTCCATTTTGGGATACAAAGATAAAACATAATATCTGCATTCAGCCACCTTGCTGATGCGACAGAGTATGGTTTTCAAATGTTCTCCTGGAAGCTTTTTAAAAAACACTTTCACCAAGATTTGATCTCACTTCAGAGTCTGAAATTTTATCTCTCTCTTTTTTTTTTTAACCATATACAACAGTTCTTGCTGCAATTATATTTTTCCCGACAACTTCTAGACTTGCCCTGAATATCAATCTTTAGATGCCCTGGGTACACTCTGTTTCACTCTGGATGCCTCTGTAAATGACATGGTCCTACATCCTCTTTTCTACTTCTCTGGGATCGAAGGTTATAAAATACTTTTGAAACAATTATTCCAGAGCTATATTCAAAACCTTCTTTAAGGGTCTCTGCTACCATGACAACCTGATTATCTGGTGGCTGCCTAAGGGAGCATTTGGGTTTGGTGACTAGGAAGTTCATTTGGGCACTTCTGCAGCTTAAACTGATGACTGGAGTATCTCAAATCTGTCCTGTCCTCTGAAACTCCATTAACAGTGCCCCGAGGACCCACAGGGTGAGAACCAGCAGGAAGATGAATGGAGATGAAAAGAGCAGACCTTGCCCTTGGGAACCTCCACTCTAATTAGTTCAACAAGAAGCATTTATGAAGCATCTACTGTGTACAGAGTCCCGACTATGAACTATGAACAGACTCAAGGAAGCTCATTAGTGGAGCCCACTCAATATCAATGAAGAGCCCACAGAGATGAGACAAAAAAAAAAAACAAAAAAAACAAAAAAAACATAAGAATTCTTAAGGCAGAATATGCAAAAGAGATCATGGTAGAGTAAGGGTGATACGGAGGCAGAAGTGGGGAGGGATGGGGGTCAGCCTGGTAACACAGTTACATATGAGTAAGATAACGTTCTGTGTAATAAATGTTCACACAACAGGGGCTTAGTTCTCACTCTCAAGCTTCCAAACCTCTTGGTCTCTTTATATAAAACAACAACAAAAAAGATTCAGAAATATTTAATATGTAACAGCGAAGTGGCAGAATGTTGGGAGTGTAGGGTTAGGGGTTCCACAGCAGGCCACCTGTGGGCAGGTGGGGAGCCAGTTCCGAAGAGTGATTCACACTTGCTTGCCTGTGAATAATCTCAAGACTCTCTGAAGCTTTCCTTTTGTGTTCTTCCCTGACTCTGATCTGAGACAGGAAATGATTCAGCACAGCCTGAGCCTATTCTGGGATCTAAGAGATACAGAAGTGCGGTGAAACTTCCATTTTTATCACTAATTACTTTAACAGGTACTTTAATAAGTGCTTGCCAATTGCCCCTGCTGTTTTGTAAAATTATCTACACTGCATTTTACATTTTTAATCAAGCTTTATTTTTGAGAAGTTTCCTGGATTGCTGAAGCTTTTGCTTTTTACATGTAGGGGGACAAATTTTCCCTCTGATTTTATAGAACTAAAGAAATTAGGCAGGGGTCGGGGGTAGGGGGGGGACCTGGCCTGCTATTTTTACCAGGCCTATTGGAAATTATGGTGGTGGCCACTGGAGTCGAACACACCATTTCTTAGGAAGAAATGAATCACTTCCCGCCCTGTGGGGTACGAAGGCTCTGTATGAAGTCTCTGCCCTGAATCTCTATCTCATGGATACTCACGCTAAATGTGGAAGAAGTTACTATCTTAACTTTTAGGGATGAAGAAATTCAGGTAACCAAATCTAAGGAAGGGATCCAAATATATTCCAGTAAGAAGTAGAGCCAGGATTCTTTCTCAGATATGTGTCCTTCTAAGTCCAGACTTCCACATTCTGTTTGCTTCTCACATGAAGAGAGGGAATTGGTCTCTTTTGCAAGGTGAGTTGTTTATTTCTGCCTAAGTGTTTAGCCCGTAATTTGGGTCACTCCCATCAGTAGCTATAGACATTTTCTGAGCTGTGTTTAGCATCAGGTATGTCTTTCACGTATATTATTCTTTGAAATGCTCATCATCACCCATAGTAAGGACATCATCATTCCCATTTTATAGGTAAGAAATTGAGGTACAGAAGCTAAAAATCTTGTCTAATGTCACATAAATAGTATCCCAGGTAGTATGAGTGCAGGGTTCATTCTCTTAATTTCTATAATTGGAACTGGCTTATGATGGTTTGTTACATAAAATTTACAAAAATAACAATACAAATTAAGTAGACAAGACAAACCATGTAAGATTAAAAAAAGTACCTCGAAGTATAATGTAATACCTTCCCTTACTACACTCAAACATCATTAATTCATTTATCAAAAAACATACTTTCATTATTATTATTTCATTATTATTATGATCAGTAATTTTATTGGTACTGGTGATGTTTTTATTTCCTCTTTAGAGCTCCACATTCTTTCTGGAAAACACAATTTTGTATATAAATTTGGATCTAACTTAAAATAAAACTAACGAGAAAAACAGCAAACATTTATAGACTACATGCCAGGTGCTGTGCTTAGGTCCCCTATTATTTTTTTTCTAATTTAATCCTTATAATCACCTCATGAGGTAGAAACTATTATAACTTTGATTTTTCAAATGAGAAAATTTAAAGAACAAGAGCAGGTGAGGTCCTGTTCAGTCAGGGATTTGAACCTGGACTCATATGTCACGCCTGCCTGTGATAGGGTCCCCTCCCTAAGGAAAAACACAACAAAACAAAAAACCTCAAGGCAACCTGGCTATACGCATACCTGACAACATCCCTCACGACCTTCTAACATGAGACCACTTAATCAGACCACATGTTTGTGTGTTACCATATATGGGAGACAAAGAAGTAAAAAAGGTATTAAAAAACTACGCCACATGGCATTCAGGGCTAAGTTTCTAGGGTACCAACCCAACTGAGCCATACTGGCACAAATAAAGTTACTTCCTGAAAAGAAAAGCCTCCATGTCATGACTCTGTGCGAGAATCCTGCCACATGACCTTTTAGGACACCACATTCTCTGCCACTGTGATATCTTACCTAGGACACAACGATGAACAAACACAGTCCCCACCCCCAAAGGCACAGGTAGGAAGACAAGCCATCGGGCACCCTCACTGTCATGTGCCATGTAAATCTCAGCAGGAGGCTCCATGGAGGCTTTCCTGAGAAAAATAGCTAAATTGAGAATGTAGGAACAAGAAATGATGACTCAGGTGAAGGAACCAAGAAAGGAGGGGGAGAAAAAAAAGGCCTTCTGGGCAGAACGTATGCAAAGGTCCAGAGATGAAAGAGTGTGACATCTTTCTGCAAACAGTTGAGCAAGACCATGGAGGCCAAAAGATGAGAGAGACATCTCAGCAGTAAGAAATCTGTGGCAAGTCATACAGTGAGTAGTAGTAAGGGCTCGGACTTGAACTCATCACTGTCTCCAAGGCACATGCTTTCCCCTTTATCCCTTTGCCAGGCCCACATTTTCTCCTAATGCTGAACTTAGCTGTGGCCTCCATTACTCTTATCTATGTAAACAAGCAAGGCAAGGTCTATAAGAAGGGACTGGAAGGGTCCCTGGAAGGAAATGTAGACACAGTGGAGACACACAGAGCTTCTGTGCCTTTGAGGGGTGCTTCTTGGTTGCAGGGAAGGCAGGGGGTTCAACCTATGATGCTTACTTCACCTCTGCATGCTAAAACTGTGCAGATTGCTGCTAGCACTCCAGAGGTCTCTAATCGCTAATCAAGAAGACACAGGGTGACTCCCTTGGTGAACCAAAGGGGTTCATTTTCCAGGCTGTTGGCAAGAAATCATACCTGGGCCCTACTCTCTTCTTGCAAGTACAACAAGGAGACATCAAAATAAAGAGTGCCTAGCACTAGAAGATTAAACTCCAAGGAAGGGGAAAGGTCTTGTTGGTGTTTTGGAAACAAACAAAACAAAAAACAAAAAAAACAAAACAAAACAAAAAAACAAAACCAAAAAAAAAAAAAAAAGGAGAATTATATATAAGATGTATGCCTCCTTACATTATTAAAAGAAAGCTGAGAACAAGTGAAATTCAGAGTTTGGGAGATATCTGCTGGGGCCTTCACAGACTATAGGATTCACCCTCATGGCACTTCCTGGCATGGAGTCTAGCGTTAAGGACTAGATCAGACGCCCATGAAAATGACTTTTGTGCTATGCACTCATCTGCATTTTATAGGCCAGTGTCCTTGTTCTAATAGGACAAGTTCCTGGAGTCCCACTCATTTAATATTTGTGAAGATGTATTACGTAAACTCAATTTCTGGCTGAACGTTCAACGAGGGCCCATAGTCTCACTGCCCCTGATAGTTAATACTAAGTTGTACGTTATCAGGTTTCAGACTTATTACTTCAGTTTGCTTTATAGGCTTTGTTGCCACAGATCCACATCAGTTTCCCTGTGGCTTTATCCCCACGGCAGTTTTTTAAATCCACTGTTACTTTACCCCATGGTAAGAAATGCCTCATGGTGTTACAAACAAGCAGTTGAAAATTGTTATTTATGTGGCTCCCTAATAGCAATTTGAAATATAGGGCATAAAATTACTAACTTACAATACTGTTCAATATTAACAGTGGGAAAGGTAATGTGTTAAACAGACATTAAAGGATTAGCTGTAAAATACATTTCACTAAGCTAAATCATTTCTTGGCAAATGGCAGTTTTCAGCTATTACGTAGGATTTATCAAGTCAAGTGGATTTATTTTTATTTTTCTATTAGTTTGCTAAATATATTCTATATTTAAATTTCAATCTTGTGGATTTTTTTCCCCGGCATATTAAGAGAGGCTGTTGAAAACAGAATGTGAAATAGAAGTGATGCCAGACTTTCAAGTCAAAATCGCTCCTTGGTTTCTCCAGCAAATCGACTAAAGACTCAAACGTAACATCCAAGAGAAAAGTAAATGGATATGATTTTACAAACATTTGTATGACAGATTAGGGAGTTACAAGTGCATCAGAGAATACAGTAAAAAGGCATGTTCTCCACAAGACATGAAACAGTGTTTCTACTCTTTTTCTTTCTTTTTTTTTTTTTTTTTTGCTTCAGACAACACTTTGTTCTAATCAAGCATGTTCAGTAAACGTTTATGTATTTGTGAATCAGGCACGGAGGAAGAAGGTGGAAAGAGAAATTCCTAATCTCCCAGGGTGGAAATTGTGAAGTATTAAATGGATATCCGATGCATAAATACAAATAACATAATCTCTCTATTTTCTTCTGAGACAGTCACCAGTTACAATAATCCTAAAATTATCCTATCTTCTCAAATCCCTCAAGATTTATTAATTTTCATAAACTGCTTTGATGGAAACTTTCTTAAAAGATGCAAAGTAACCTTTCTCGAGCTCTCCTTATACTTCAGATCATGGACAGCATTTTCAACCTCAGAATACCAAAAGTGATTTCCTACTTTTCAAAGGAATTGGTTATGGATATATAAATAACTATTACAAAGAAATGAGCATTATGGAGCAAAGAAACTGCTCTTATACTCATTTGAGAAATGATGAGAGGATCCAGATTCCCAAGAAGTAATTATTATTATAAAATTAAGGGTCTGCTTTGAACACTTGTTAATCATCAGCTGGTTTTAAAGACAAAAATTTTTTCCCCAAGACTGTGAGTCGCAGACTATAAAGATTTCTCCCCAAATGTCCCTGTTAATAATTCTAAATGGCTTCAAAACATTTATTACATATAAATCTTTACTTTTTTTGTTCAGCTGTTTTATGTGGGATGGTAAATTTCTTTTCATAAATACTTTTATATTGATCAAAAACTAATGGAATAAGACGCCCTCCAACTTGAGTACATAAAAATACAGTCAGCGTGTAAAATGTGAGTCATTTATTCAGAAAGCCGATGGTTGGTTCCCGGAAGATGTCACCTAGCCCAGCAAGTCACTGAGCTAGGCTAGGATGGAGTCCGGGCCCACGCACTGTGGCCATGTTCATCGCATCACCTGGACACCTCCATCAACTGGAATCCAATGAACCCCAACCCTTGATTAGCTGACTTACTTATTATTACCTTTTTACCTGACATATTTAAGACAAAGATGATCAACAACTAGAAAACTAGCTTTTAAACATTCAGGATAAATCCTGGGTCTGAGTTTACACATTACTCCCTTCCCCATTTGCCACATCCATAACCAGGGAGGCAAGGCTGGCACGTGGCCAAGGTATGATCCGGCTTGGGTTCAGATCCTGGCTTTGTGTAATTTAAGGCAAGTTACTGTACCCTTTGAGCCTTAGTTTCCTTTATGGATAATAGTAACAACATCAACTCAAAGGGCCTCATTGCAGATTTGATGTTCAAGAGAAGGAACTCTGGAGTTATAAGGTTGTGGTAAGAATTCAATTCACCAAGGGGTTTGGACACATGAAATGCTCAACAAATGTTAGCTATTTTCATAACCAGTGACATAACTTGTGCAATGCAGGGGACCATTTGTAAAAAAAAAAAAAAAAAAAAAAAAGATACTAAGAATTTCACAGTGGTGACAGAACAGTATTACATCAAGCACAGGGCCCTTCTAGCCCCTGTGTGACTGTACAGATTTGCACCCAAGAAGTCCACCCTGGCTCTTATCTTCTCTGATTATTTATTATTAGACTCGGAAAGATACTCCCAGACCAGAAAAAGATCTGGTTATGTTCCCTTTGCTAAGCTTGCTGAGGTAAGAGTAGACTTGAATCTTAACATAATTTTCAAAGACAGAATAGCCTGATTCCCACCCCCTCTTGCATCTACCCTCAATTAGTGTCAGTGCCAAAAGTATGCCTGATAGTATAAACCAAAAAGAAGTCCTGAGACAGCTTCCTAATATCATTTCCAGTGAAAAGCCACCATTTCGGTAGCATGTAGGTGATGATAATTTGCAACACGAGACCCCAAACTCCAGAAAATGCCAATAGCAGGGTATCCAGTTGAGATAGAAAAAAAAAAAAAATACACAGAGCAAGGGAGAGTGGGGTCAATATTTCTTGGAAAATCAGTTTTGTTAATTCTGAGGTAGCTGCTTTATAATCAGAATGTTAGGTAGGAGTGGCTTGTTCTAAGTCCCTCTTGTTTCCACTTATTTCCTTTCCTGTTCCTACAGGAAGATTGCCCATATCCTGGAAAATGCTCCTGCCTGGACAGGAAACATGGGAGGAATCCCTTGCTGAGACATCAAGATGGCTCCAGGTGAAAGTAAGCTGAGCTGTGTCTTATATTCACATTTTCATTTCTGTGCCCACCCACCTGACTTTCCTGTCCCACTCTTTATTTTGTAATGTTTATTTTTGAAAGAGAGAGAGAGAGGGGGCGCATGCATGAGTGGGGGAGGGGCAGAGAGACAGGGAGACATAGAATCTGAAAGCAGGCTCAGGGCTCTGAGCTGTCAGCACAGAGTCTGAAGCAGGGCTCGAACTTGTGAACTGGAAAATTATGACCCGAGCCGAAGCTGGATGCTGAACTGACTGAGCCACACAAGAGCCCCATTTCTTGTCCTACTCTTTAGCAACCCCTTTGTCATAACACTCCCTGATGTTCCCAATCCTGAAATTCACTTATACTTGTCCTGTTGTTATTCATGGTCTCTAACATGACAGATTCAAGGAGCAGTTCTTAGTAAAAACCCTAGGCAGACAAACAATGAAGTTATATAAAATGGCAAATAATGACTTCAGAATTCTACCCATATAACCTTTCCAGATAAATCTCTGAGAACAGACAGTTTCCTTTGCCACTGCACTATCTAGACATGGCCTCCCAAAGGATACATATAAGTCACAGCACCAAGTTTCTCCTATTCCCCTCCCTAAACTGTAGTGTGTAGCTATAATTGCCAAGTATAAAAACAGCTATTATTATATTATACCATGTGGTACCACTATCACATATCTCTCAATATGAAAATCCTTTAGCAATGTCCAATTAACCTTAGCCTGGGCCAAGACAGACTCTGTCATGTGCCAGCAAAGAACCATGTAGCCTGCTGCTGGTCAGTGGAATAATTGTGAACCTCTTAAATTCTTTTTTCACATTTACTTCTTGAATCTGTCACCAGACCCTAGAACCCTCTGAAAGAACTAGGCAGTTTTCAGTACGATCTCATTATTGACATTTATGTTGATTGATGTTGGCTCTTACAGAATTGGAATCTGCAGATCAATTTCCTTATTAGATTCTTTCTCCCTGCTGCCATAATCATTTTATCACATAGGTTGCTGCTATCAAATGCTGCTTTGTCACTATGTAATGGGACAAGCCAAACCAGTTCCTCTAGTCTGTTACAAGAAACAGAAAATTCTCCTGGTTTTAAATCTGACTTTCCTCAAATTTTAAGAAATTCCCGGATAATTATACTTGAACATCCTCTTTGTAAAAACTATGCCCCATGGAGGAACCAGCGATAATCTTAAGGTAAGTGCACACAATACTACTTAGAACCATTTGTCCTTTCCTCTCAGAGACTGTCCAATGTCAAATTATGAAACAGGTGCCATCCACATGGTGACTTTTGCCAGCTAGGTAGAGCAGGTGATCATGTCAGGGTCTCTGGTAGGCTTCCCAAACCTGGCCAGGTAGTTTTGTGTAAAGGGGGAGAAACAAACCCTCCAAAGTGCTTCTAGCCCCACAAGTGGTCACCATTTGTAAGAGAGCTAAGAAAACAAAAACAAAAACAGGGTGGCTGTCATCAGAGGATGCATCCCTACTCTAGAGAGAACAACTCAAGCGTATTAAGTAAACATTGCATGGAAAGAATAAATAATCATCCTTGTATCTACACAGGCCTGCAATTCCTAGGAAATATACAGACTCTCGGGGTTCCTTAATGTGAGAGCTCAGAGATCCATGAGTAGAATTCAGAGCCTTTGTGAACTTGGAGGAAAAAACAATGCATCTTTAGTTTCACCAAACTTGAACTATAATTTAACATTTCCGGGGCGCCTGGGTGGCTCAGTCGGTTAAGCGGCCGACTTCGGCTCAGGTCATGATCTCGCAGTCCGTGAGTTCAAGCCCCGCGTCGGGCTCTGTGCTCACAGCTCAGAGCCTGGAGCCTGTTTCAGATTCTGTGTCTCTCTCTCTCTGACCCTCCCCCGTTCATGCTCTGTCTCTCTGTCTCAAAAATAAATAAACGTTAAAAAAAAAATTAAAAAAAATTAACATTTCCTTCAGTTGTGAATGTAGGCATGAAACTACAGTGGTATTAATTGGTGACTCTGTCACTACAAGAGATCACAGACATCTTCATGTCACATTGCAGTTGTAGTAATATCTATAAATATTATACATTGGAATCATTACATAAGAACTAAGTTAGAACTTCCATTTGAGCTTTTTATTTCATGCTTTAGGAATGAAGCTCATCTTACATATTTTTCAACACCTTAGTAATGGCACCTCAGTATAACCGGTTTCCTTTTATAATCCCATGTCTTCGTGCATGTAATAGCATTGTTCTGAGAAGGGGACCAAAGGCTTCTCTGGTCTAAAAAAAAACTGGGCCATGGCTAAAACATGGTTATCAGCCTCAATTACGTCACTACTCCCGAACCCTCCATCTCACGTCGTTTGTGATGTGGAGACGTTCTGTTGTGGCTCTGACTTCCCACATGTGTGAGGAAGAATGGGTGGATTTCAGCCATCCTGGGTCCTGATGGTTACCTCCAGCACCTGGTAATGCTGGCTCTGGTTGGGCAAGGAACGTACATTAATTTGAATCTCCACTAAAATAAATGAGCTTTCTTTTCATTGCCAAGCTGAGCTCTACAGCTATGATTGTTATGTATCATTGCAATCTAGGCCTTAATGGCATTTTAGCCCTGTGGTGGGTTCACAGAGAAACTATTTTCAAACTTCAAAAGGCCATTAAAACATGTGCAGATGTCTGGAAAATTAATACTATTATCTAACTCTCACCCTTTGCCTGTAGGAGGCAAGGAAGAGACAAGGCTCAATAAAGATATTAGAGATCAATACATGGTCATAAAGCAAAGTGCTGTCCTTCCGGGGAGTGCGGGTGGTGACAAGTAAGGAAGCTGACAGTGCTTTTGAAGAGATTTTCTCATTAGATTTTTTGTCAAAGTCATTCACGTAATCTATTAAAAATTTAAAGAGAGAATAGGGATGGCATGGAAGGTAGAAGAAGGGAGAAAGAGATAAAGATAATTTTCTGCTACCCTACTTCAATTTTGATGTTCAAGGTCCTGAGATCTCAAGAGTGGAGGTGTTCATTCATTCACATGACAGAACCCGGATTTGTCAAGGTTAATGTTGAACAAGTTACAGTTTCTGTTCTCAAGTGTTTTGAATTTGAGAGACTTCAGCACATTCTGTAAATTCTCAGGATACAGAGATATTCTCATAGTTTCAAGGCTTTTATAAAGTTTTTAGAACCATGGTCTCTTTTCTTCCTTTTTATCATTTTATTTCTAACAGATTTTATTCTGTAAGTGTCCCAGCTACCCCAATAAAACATGAAAACAAGACTTAATTTTTTATCACAGAATGGAAGCTTTACACTTTTATTAAAGAATTTCTTTTAGAGAGTTCTTCAATATAGAAAGAGGAAAGAGAAAGAAAAATGTTTTAGAAGACATTTTCAGCAGTTTTTTGTCTGTTTTCTCAGATGGATGGAGCTGACCATGGGAAATATACTGGAAATTCTTAAAGCATTATATGGAATCGTCTCTACAGATAGCCCTTCATCAAAAAACCTGAAAACATTAACAGACTGTGGGTAGTGCATCTGTTTAAATTCAAGAATAAAGAAGACTGTGTCAGCCTCAGCCAAGATTGCACCTACCTGTAAGAAACAGAAAAACTGACTCTAAGGGGCTTAGACATAAACAAATCTTAGGCATCTGTATTCTTACAAAGCAAGAAGTTCGGAGCTAGGTGGTCAATGAGATTACGGGGGTTATTTGTTAGTACATCATAACCTAGCTTATACTGACAAAGCAAGCTCACATGAAATGACACCCAAAAGACCTGTGGCAAAGGGTCTAAAACAGGAGCATGTATTAGCAATCTCTCAACCATATTTTAATTTCACTGGGGTAATTGTGGGTAACACATCCTTCCAAATGGAAAGTTTTCCTTTTCAATTTCAAAATAAGGACTCTCAGGATTGCATTCAGCTGTCAACAACAACAGCAACAACACAAAAAGCCTGACTTACAATGTCATAAGCTTATAGTAGCATTTATATTTCTCACACAGCAAGATGTCTGGAGGTAGGCAGTCCAGAGCTGGTCGTGTAGTTCATTCATATCATCAGGAAGTCAAACTCTTCTCATTCCTGTCTTGTTCTGCCATCTTTTGTGTGAAGGCTCATGCTAAGATAGCTGCTATATTTCCTGGCATTGCCTCCACCTTCCAGATAGGAAGAAGGGGTAAGCATAAATGAACACTACAGCTGTGTTTCACCCCTTTTATCAGGAAAACAAAAGCTTGCCATAAATCCCCACAGCAGATTTCCACAAAGGTCTCATAGGCCAGAAGCAGGTCAACCTGGACTCTCTTAGTACAAAGGGAAGCTGAGAAACAGCATATTTGTCTTTCTAGTATCTGGGGTAGAAGAAATAAGGAAGAAAGGTGTCAGCTGAGTGTGGTGGTCATGAATGCTACTTACTAAATATGTCCAATTCTCTTTCCTTCTCGGGACATGTCTACTTGTGTTTCTTAACGTCTCTATGGTTGAGTGGGGCCATATACTTAGTCTGACCAAAGCATTTTTAATAGTGATGTGAAACCATCCATAGCTCTCTTCTTCTCAGCCTGGTGATTGGCAATGTTTGAGATGGTGGCTACTCCATCAGTAATGTCTCCTGAGTGTCTAAGATGTGTGGCTGGCTCCCGTGCTGACCTACAAAAGTAATCTAGCATAAGAAACAAATCTTTGTGTCTGAAGCCACATATATTTTGCAGTTGTTTGTTACTACAGCTTACCATAGCCCATCCTGACTGATTCAATGAGTCAACTTAAAATGTCAGCCAGAAGGAACAAGTTTGAGAGGCAAGTAGTCTCAGGTAGGCCAATGTCTTAGAGATCTCTGAAGCAATACTGATTTCAGTGGGATAATATCCTGAGGCCAACTTTCTCTACTTCAAGCGCAGTTAAGTGGTCTTTAATTCATACTATTATAGCTGTCCTTGTACTGCCCATGGGACATAGACAAATTATCCCTCTCTCCTGTGTCTCTACACAGGTGAGTAGCTAATGAAACATAGCGTGTTCAAGGTAAGCCACCAAATTTAATATGAACTTCCAGGATGACCACCCACAAAAATTTAATGTATGATAATGACAGATGGCATAGTTTATGACAAGCCTAGTTAATGATACAATTCACATGTCTGCATTGCTGAGACTGCCCTTAAGAGGAAGCCAAAAAAAACTAGGGGTGCGGGGAGGTGACTAAGAGTTAAAGCATTAATGGCCTCTTCAGTTACATTAAGAATCTGATTTTATCTCTGAATATACTATTTCACAACCTCAGCAAAGTCAATAGAAATTCATTCAGTAGTGACAGGGCTTTTCCACAAGGACTCCAAAGCCACCAGTATCAAGCCACTGTAACAGAGGCAAGTCATTTGGGAGAAGAAAGGGGACATTAGGAGACTTTAGTACAAAGGAGGTGGATTGCTTGACTAGCTGTTTCAAGTTTCACTGTTGTTTATGTTTCATTTTAACTACTACCCCTGGTCTTACCATGGGATGAGAGAAGTAAGCCACATGGATTTGCACCAGCAAAACGCTTAGTTCCACAAAAGATAGCAACACCGAATCTTCCACAACATGCTTCTGTGCTAAAAGTCACTTAACATAACTTCAGGCTCATCTGGATGGAAATGTGTGGAGAGTAGGGGGAGCAACAAGGAGAGTACTCAATGGCTACAAGTGTCAATGCTGATTCGGTCCCTTCGAGACAGTCCTGTTCCAGTTCCCACTTGCAAAGGTCAAAGCTTAGTTTGAAAACAGCAATGGAAGAACAGAAGGTTATTGTCACGTAATGCTACACTTCCAGGGGAGCTTTCAAGTGCTCCTTTAAAAGAAGGTATGTGAGGGGCACCTGGGTGACTCAGTAGGTTAAACCTCTGACTTTGGCTCAGGTCATGATCTTGCGATTCATCGGTTTGAGCCCCACATCAGACTCTGAGCTGTCATGGGTTCGAGCCCCGAGTCAGGCTCTGTGCTGACAGCTCAGAGCCTGGAGCCTGCTTCAGATTCTGTGTCTCACTCTATCTCTGCCCCTCCCCTGCTCACATTCTCTCTTGGTCTCTCAGAAATAAATAAACAAGCCTTAAAAGAAGATGTGTGATAAACTCTTCCTTTTCTAAACTCCAAGTACACCTTCCCTGCATGTGTACCTGCCTCATTTTGTGTGTGTGTGTGTGTGTGTGTGTGTGTGTGTGCGTGCGTGATCTTCAAGTGTGAATTTTTAAAGCAAACATAAATATTGTAAATTTAGGGGCATTAATAATAACGGTTATAGCTATAGTTCCTTCTAAATATTTCAATGGATTCCCACTCTTCCATAAAAAAACATAAACCCTTTAAATCTTTGAATCATTTAATTTTATGTATTCTTTTGGTATTTCATTTGGGAGTTATGGGGTGTGAAATATGCACCATGATGAGAAAACAATTAACCAGCACACCTGTTGTTTATGCATATCGTATTGAAGAAGGGCCAGCTGGAGCTATTATTTTAATCCACAGTATGGTGTCAACCAGGGGGCTATCAGAGGTGACCTGATGACACTGAATTATACTTTCATTTGTATTACATGCCTTGCACTTGGCCCTGATGCTGGAATGATACTTCTCAAGTTAAAATTGCGTCTTTAACTCATAATTAGTGAGATTTTCAGATTTAGTAGAAAAATTAAAGTTCAGATTTACTACAGAAGTAGTAAGTGATAGAATTGTGTTTTTTTTTTTAATTTTTTTAACCTTTATTTATTATTGAGACAGAGAGAGACAGAGCATGAACGGGGGAGGGTCAGAGAGAGAGGGAGACACAGAATCTGAAACAGGCTCCAGGCTCTGAGCTGTCAGCCCAGAGTCCGATGCGGGGCTCGAACTCACAGACCGCGAGATCATGACCTGAGCCGAAGTCAGACCCGTAACCAACTGAGCCACCCAGGTGCCCCGTAAGTGATAGAATTGTATTAATAACAGAGAAATTGCCATTTATTATATTACTATAAAACAGGGAATTCACAGGTAAAAAGGTAGGGAAAAACTGGCCATTCTAGATTTGTTCCTAATACAAGAGGAGAAATATTCTGTTTGCTACCTTTCATTAACAGACTGTTGATAGTAGATGGAAGCAATGCATATTTAAAAAAATCTTAACCTCTGCTTTAAAAATTGATTTGGGGGCACCTGTGTGGCGCAGTCGGTTAAGCGTCCGACTTCAGCCAGGTCACGATCTCGCGGTCCGTGAGTTCGAGCCCCGCGTCAGGCTCTGGGCTGATGGCTCGGAGCCTGGAGCCTGTTTCCGATTCTGTGTCTCCCTCTCTCTCTGCCCCTCCCCCGTTCATGCTCTGTCTCTCTCTGTCCCAAAAATAAATAAAAAATGTTGAAAAAAAAATTTAAAAAAAAATTAAAAAAATAAAATAAAAATTGATTTGTGGCACATGAAACCAATAATTATATCTCTGGCATGCTAAATGTAGATATGTGGGGGTGGAGGGTTATTTTGTTTAAGACAATGGTTTTCAATCTATCAAACCTAGTGCCCCTTGTAAACAAATATTTTTTAATTCCCCATTTGCTGCATGCCAATGATTTTCACAGTTATTATAACTTAGTATACAGTAAAGAATTAACATTGCAGGCCTGACTGCTATTTCTTAAAAGGCTTGCTTATAACATAGGCCCTGGGCTGGAATCTGAATTACAGAAGGTTCCTACTGTGCTTACTGATCATGGTAGCTGACTGTGCCTAAATTGTTTATACAAATAATGTGGCTCATGCAGAATACCTGCTTTCCTTCTGGGAGTCTAGAATTTGGGTGTGTGCTAGGCAGAGGGTGCCTACCTGACCAGCCCTATTAAAAACCCTGGGAACTGATGCTGTATGAGCTTTTCTGGTCAACAGTATTTCATATGTGCTGTCACAACCCACTGGGGAAGCAGGTGCATCCTGTGTGACTCAAACAGGAGAGTTCCCTTGAAAGCTTGTGCAGGTCTCCCCAGACTTCACTCTATGCCCCTCTGCCAACGGCTGAGTTTGCTTTGTATCCTGTCACTACAATAAACCTTAGCTGTGAGCACAACTAAATACTGAGTCCTGTGAGCCCTCTTAGCAGATCGTTAAACTTAGGGGTGGTATTGGGGCCCCCTGAAACACACACACATACCAACTTCAAAAAAATACATATAATATATAAACTTATAGGAAAGGAAATATATGTGTAATTTGTAATAGAACAATACGCTTGTCAATATGCAAATTCTCAGGCATTACTCTCCTACAGGGTGTAACGAAGTGGTCAGATGCCTGCACCGTGGAATGACCACAGCTGTGACACTATAAACACAGACTCTTACAGGTTTCTTGTGCTGGAGACTCAAATATAATGAAGACCGCTACAAACAATGGCGTGCTTTCCTCAGATGGGGAGCAATTCTTCGTGAAACTATAAACAAAACAAAGCTCAATTCTTCCCTTAAAAAATTCTGACCAAATTCAGCTTACATTAAAACCATCCCAAAAATACTTTGAGTTTCTGCATAAAACAGTGTGAGATGCTCTGCTCAGATAATCATGCGCCC